AAGCTTAAATAATAATACGAAAATCCAGAGCTTGGCAATAAAGGCTATTGAACTTTTCTTATAAAATTAGCACAAAAATCTAAAATGATATTCTTTACGTAGTTCATGTGTATGGTACATGGTATCATGTATATACTCTGTGCATATAAATGATAAATGCGATAAGTCGCCGAAAGAAAGAAAACTTTCTAGTGCGGCCTGTAGTTAATAAACAGCCGCAATGTTTCTGTTCTAGAAATAAAAAAAGAGAACAAAAAAAAAAAAAAAAAAAGAAAAAGGAAACATATTTTCATTACTCATATGCTGCAGGAAGTGTATATAAGAAATTCAATTGAAACTGGGAGACTGAAAGTCTAGACAAAAAGGAGAATATGAAAATCGCATATATATATATATATATATATATTTATATATTTATATATTGTCATGCATTTATTTACAGAAGGAAAATTCTAAAAATATATATGCCCAACCAAGCCATTAATTATGGCCACGTTGTGATATTACAGCCGAGAACGTCTTAGATTAGATATCAAGAATTTACGATTTATTTTTTTCCTTCTTCAACACACAAAAGAACATCGTTAGCTGCAAGTGCAGATTGTCTATTAGTGTGTACGTGTTCACGCCTTCGACAGAAACAACTTTCCGGATATATAGCCGTTTCGAACGAAAGAATTGAGTTATCGTGGCACTGAACGCATAGAACGTCAAAATTGATATCTGCTGGAATGAGAAGCAAGAAAACTCAGGATATCTTGAGGGATGAGTTTAAAATATTCAGCACTTTTTCACTAATCCCTAACCGCCGAAGTAGGAACAGTAAAAGTTTTCTTCTGGTTCTCTGCCGCTGGTACTAGAGTTTTTCATTTTTTTACAAAAATTTTTAAGAAGAATTTTTTCTTAATATTGTATTTACTTTGTGAAATTAAATTGATAATGTATATGAGAAGTTTTATTTTTTTATTCCGACATTTTCAGTTTCAATTAAATTAACATAAGGCATTCAGAAGGGGGAAAGAACGAACAGATTAATAGACGGATAAATAAACATATGAACAGATTCGCGGACATGCAAATGAACATGCAGTTGTTTAGTCAGATGGATTAAGAAATTAACAGACAGACAGACGGACGGCTGAAAACATAGGTGAGGGCTAGGGATAAATGCAACGTACGAATGCAAGGATGAGATGCAACAGATAGGCACTTTAGCTAGATGACAGACGGACAGATCTAACTCGATAACATACCAAGTAATGTTGAGAATGTTCGTGGAAGTTGAAGGTCCGCGAAGGTAATAAAAACAGAAGAAAAGTTGACTGTTCGCGAATGCCACTTAATTTACTTTTCCATGCAGAGTAAGCATCAGTGTGCCATATCGTAAGAATCCTATTAGAGCATAACTAATACAAACTTTATGTCTAAAATTAGTGGTCAGTAATGACTAACTCCCTCTTTTAATAGATTTGTAGGGAAAGCTATCAAAAATGGGACACAAGCTCTATCACTAAAGTACACTCTATGGTGAAAAAGATAAGCCTTTCTTTTCTTTGATTGATAGATCATGATAAATGTGGTCTATTTATTGGCGTCAATAGGCGAAAAAACTTTTAAGTAACACAGTTAACGGCTGGGACAGCAGTCCATTCAATATTTTTTCTTTTCTTTTTATTTAAACTGTACATATAGTATGGGTAGATAGATATGTGCATTTAGTGATAATAGTTTGTTCCTCCATATTTCGGTAACATTTTTCTTTTTCAGATGAAACGAGTACAGTTTGTATGTACCCATATACATAAGTGCAAGTTTGCGTATTTACTTGTACTTGTACTTGTATGTATTGTTTGTCATCTTAACTCCTTTACCTTGAATATTATCATCCAAAAATAAACTTTTCATCAACTGGAAAGGTGGGAAGATAAGGTCGAATTTAATTAGCAAAGCACCTAGCATTCCCCTTAATGGAGATCTGTGAACATCCGAACACGGCTCTGTTATATATTCAGACATAAGATATAGTTGGATTAGGAAGCCTACTGCGTCCATATTAAAAAACGTAAAATATTTATATGGACACCACATGAATTTATATGGAAAACCTTTCAAACAAGGTAAACGAATTCAAATTCTACATAGGCGGTGCGTAGACTATGCATAGACCGTGTTTTTCCATAACCGATTTTTGCTAACGTACCGAATTTCAATAAATTGTTAAAACTAGTTCCTGTAAGCAGAATATGAATTTATTTGCCGCCTACGCACCGCACCGCCTATGCTTAGTCTAGGGGATTTGAATTTGTTTAGCTTGTTTGAGAGGTATTCCTTATATAGATCCAAGAGGTGTCGATGAAAATAGTCCGTACAGGATACATAAAGGTGCCTTGTTAAGGTGTTTACGCAGCTTTGTTAAGGGCAGTGGTAGCTGCCTTTGCTAGTTAAACTCGCATTTATCTTCACACCCTTGCAATTGATGAAAGTTTCAACTTTAGATGATAATATTCAAGGTAAAGAAGTTAAGTTATGACAAACAATACATACATACAAGTTGCGCTCATGTATTTGCGTACATATAAATTGCAGTCGCTGTATCTAAGAAAAAAAAAACTATATGTACTCAGGCCAACGAAGCAGAAAACTGAACCGAAATATGGGGGGAACTAAACAAACTATTGTCACTAAATACGCTTATGCATCTACGTAAATGTGCATATAACCAAAAAAAAAAAAAGAAAAAAAGAGAAAAGATTTCCATTCACAAAATATAACAAATTTTGACCTGTTTAGTAAGAAGAAAGCACTTGACATCTTTGATGAATGGCTAAAGACGACTTCGGATAGTGCTCAACGCTTATAAAAATTTTTATATAAAATTAATATTGATCTCCATTATTGAAATTTTACAATCACATTTAGTAGCCATATTGAATTTTGTTTAATACATTGCCAATTTTGTTTGTAGTGATAATGTAAAATGTGAATGATCTACTATTTGGAAACATTTCAAGCCAAGCGAAACATTTGAAATCAATTGTATTTTTTGCATCTATCGTTAAAGGATCAATTTTCCCATTTCCTCATTCTTTCCCTTTTGAATACACGTGTCCTCGTTTTGCTTGATAAAAGTCGTCCATGGACACTGTATAATCTATGGAAGCGTTCTTGATGGGCAGATATCTGTTGTCAATTTATACTACTGCATACTGCACAATACCGTACTATGCTGTTTTTTAGTGCATAATGTTATATCGTTTTAATTTATACCACAATACATGCAAAACAAATGAGAACGAATATACACTTATTTTATAAATCGGCACAATACATGCAAAACAAATGAGAACGAATATACGCTTATTCTCAAAGCGGCACAATACATGTATGCTATATTTTATCTACGCATTTTACATATGATGTATATACTAGATGCCATAATATACTATGATTTACTACTATAGAGTACTACAGTACTACATAATGTACTATACCTTATACTTATATACTTTATAGTTGTATACTTAAGGCGAGAAAATACCACGTTCTACTGTAGCATGCTATTATATATTGTAAGGTGTTATACTGTTCTATGTTACCTTAATTCGTATTAATCCAGAAGGCGTTCATTTTTTTGTGGCTTAGCCGCAGGGAACTATCAAATGCGGGTAAACTACGCCGCAACCAGAATCACATCATCTCGGATCGGGCTGTTATGGCTAGTTGATACTTGCTATATAATCTTCCATCCTCTATCCTCAAATAGCATTCAGAACTCGTCAGGCTATATTCTGAAGAATGCCGTGCAAAAAGTAAAGAATATGCTTCGATTTTCCTTCGATTTGTCAGTGTAATTGCTAGTATAATTTCGAATTGCAGAGACTTGGAAATTTATATTTAATACCATGCCATGCAATCCTATAGCATGATAGATTATAATATATGATGCTACACTATAGCCTACTGTGCTATGTACTGAATTTATTTTTTCTCGATTTTTTCTAATTTTTCAAGGTATTATTGTTAGGTTTATTTTCCAGACAAACATATTTTAAAGGGATATTGTGGAGTTCCTAATGCTATCAAACGGGATAACTAACTACATTTTCATTTCGAGATTGCTGGATATGAAGTGTTTAATAACTATGGCATTATGTAGATAGTTTAAGTAAGCATAGGTATGTAATACACATTTTGTATTGAAAATCATTGAAAGAACGAAGAGATATGACTTTGGGTTTAGTTTGTAACGGTTTCTAACTGAAGACTCGTTTGTTCGGTTGGTTAAGTTTAACTCGATTCGGTTATTTTTTTTACCAGAATATGAAAATGGTGCTTGAACAAAGTTTAATTGCTTTAAAATGATTCCTTTTGTTCGAGATGTATTCATATATATCGAAGTCTGTATGGTTTTATGGAAAGCTCATGGAAGCGGTAATGGGCATAAAAAGGAAAATACTAAAAATATAAATGAAATAAATTTCTGCTCTCTTTGGTGAAAAATGATTTTATGGCAGAAAAGTTTTGTTTAATTTTCCTTTTTTTTCTGGTTTTTATTTATTTTTTATTTTTTTTTTTCCTTTTAAACTGACTTTTTAGGTCAGTCCAATGCTACTGCTGTATTTATGTACATGTATTTATGTATTTATATATATATATATATATATGCGTATATATATATGTATATGCGTATATATATATGCGTATATATATATATATATATAGGTATAAGGATGTATGTGTACAACTAAGACATGCCTTGATATCGCTCCAAAATTAAACACGTAGCACATACCATTATACAGATATACATAAAATGTAAAACTTTACCTTGTAAATATTTATAAATTGAATTTAGTTTTTTTTTTTTTTTTTTTTTTAATAAAATTTTTTTTTAAAATTAAATTATATTTAAATTTTAGCAAATTTAAATTCAAATTAAATTATTTTCATTTTCTAGAATCCTTGAGAAACACAAAAAGAAAAAAAAATTAAAGAAAAAACAAAGAAGGCAGTAAACAGTAAGCGGTAAGCAGCAAAAACAAAACGAACAACATGCCCTATGAAACCATGCATCATCAGACGTCAGCACCGAACGGCATGTTGGACTCGTTAAGTTTACAATTGCGAGATGCGGAAACGCGTCGAGCTGAAATTGAACGAGCACATCAGGTGAATTTATTTAAACAGATATTAATATAAATTTTAACATATAATACATGTTGCTTCGTTCATAGGAAACTTTGGCACAAATACGTAGTTTAAGTGGCAACGTTGGCCGTGCAGATAGCGAAGCAATTGAAAATCTCCAATCACGGGCTCGTGAATTAGAAAAAAAGGTGAGCAAATTATTCGCGAATAATTTTTGTTCGCCTTAATGAAATGCTAATAATGATAGGCCGCCTTGGAAAATGTACGCTGCGAGGAATTGCATATCGAATTATCGGCTGCTATGAAAGCTAAAGCAGGCCGTTCTGCTGCGGCGGCTGCTGCTTCCTCGGCAGCGGCGGCAGCAGCAGCATCTAGTATTACTGCCACAACAGGCACCAGTTCAACGGTTACGTGGGCGCCGTCAGTTACTCATCAGGATCAGGGTTCAGAAATTGATATAATAATGGCTAAAATTGAACAGGTACGTCTTGAGATAAGTATTTGAAAAAAAAAAAGAAAAGTTGATTATAATACCCGAAGAAGAAACTAGATAAAAACTTTAGCATGAAAAAAACAAGTAAAGACATTATAGTGGGCCGGGCGCCACCATTAAATACCCTGCAGCTGTTCCCTCGCTAATAAAGTTATTCATATATAATAACTTTTCAAGATCAGGCGTTATATGGGAAGTGATTGAAAAGCCGGTTTGATCCGAATAGCGAAGACAAGATTACAAGACGGACAAGCTTAGACAAGTTTATAGCAAGAGGTGGATCTACCTCAAGCCTGTCTGGGTCAAATAAAATATTCTTTCTAAACTCGGAATGGATTTTCTTAGATAGTAATTGTAATAAACGATTTTTTACGAAATTTTGTCATCCCACGATATAATATTGATTGCTGCTGATCTTTAAAATCATATCTGAAGAAATGTTTTTTTTTTCTTTTTTTGTTCTTTTCATCCTTTCACCTTACTCTTTACGCAGGATAATCGAGTGTTGGCTGAGTTAGAAATTCCTCGGACATCGGCATCAGGTTTTTCTAGCATGCCAGCCAGTTCCATGTATACGACGGGAAATTGTGAATTTAAAACCATATCAAAAACTGGTGAATTCAATTGAATTTAATTTTAATTTTAATTTATATAAGTTTTGTAATTTTCATATTTTGTCTTCTTGATTAGAACTTGAAGAGGAACTAAATCGTTATAAACGAGCTGTACTAGGTGGTACCAGTAGTGGTACATCCGGTACTATGGCTGGGGTCAGTTGTACTCTTAGTGGTTACTCGTCAGCTTTAACTTCGACCCTACCAAATGGCGGTATAGGTAGTGGTACTGGTGCTGGTGGCGGTGGAGGGGGTACGGTTTCAGGCCTGTCAAGTACTGCTGGAGGTTTGGCAGGCCCAACAGGTCTATCTACTATGTCGGCCTTAGTGCCGAATTCTATGAGTGGTATCTCATCGTCATTAAGTAGTCATGCCTTACAAACATTAAATGCAGCCGCTACTTATGGTACAGCTGGCAGTAGTGGTGTTGTACCTTCATCGGTTGATAAACTTTTAAGCGGAACAAGTGGAATCACTGGCATTCCGCCAATGCCGGTAAATATTCATACGATGAAGTCTATGCCGTCAGCATTAAGTCAGGTAAAAATTAATAAATTTCTCTAATTATTCATAAACTACACACATACAACGTATATATATATATATATATATATATATAGATTAATCACGCATACGCTTAACACATACATATTATAAATTATGAATCAATGCACACATGCGCATACATTGCGATGACTTTTTCCATCATATAAAAATATATATATAAGCAACACATATATGTATGATATAATTTCATTGCTACTTAGATGTTTTTGTTCGAATTCGATGGATTAGGAAATTTTAATTTTTAAATCCATTTACAACTTTGCGATTATTATTGTTGTTATCGTTCTAGTTTCTTATTTCTGACTTTATTCTTGGTTATTGAATAATTTTGCTGAAATCAGTAGATAAGCGTGACAAGTAATGAATGATTAAGGGCAGTCTGGCTTGCAGCGATGGCTTATGTCTTATGCTAATCACAGTTATCTCTTGCAGCGGCATTGTTAAGGATCTTACAAACAAGCGCTAAGCCAAACTATTCCTCTTCTAAATCCTCAGAAATAAAAAGACCGAACAATCAATGCATCGATGTAAAGACCTTGGTTATGTGGCAGACTCGAACACCTACCTGTCTTGTATCGGTCAATTAACATGTGCTCAGCGATTTAGAAAATCCGGTAGATTAGAAATTATCTTGACTACTTTACACTCTTATTCCGGATGTTTTCTAATCTACTTTGCAATTTAATTTATTAAGGGTTCATAAGGAAAGCTATTAATAAAACACGTCATTTGATTAGGTTTCAAGTTGAACGTTTAAAAAAAAAAACATCATAAAAATATAAATTTTGTTGCTTAGTGGATCGCATTAAAATGTTTATCAACCACCGTTTATTGCAGCAATATTATCATAATCTCCATCTATACCTGTCGTCCTCTTCGAAAATATGTGAGAATTGGTGAAATTACATTGATTTTCAGAATTTTCCACTGATAAAACCTTTATGATAAATAATATCGTAATAAAAATAATTATTAAAAAGAAAAACAAAATTTGCTTTGTAATATGAGAGAGGTGTTGAAAAGCGCGGGATCGACTGCTCGGTAGCTTTGTCGAAAATGAATGCAAACAAATTTCCTATAATGCGATCACTAGAGATTGCAATCACTAAGAGTTGACTCACTTTTGCAGCTATGCGAAGTGGTGAAGGTTGATCGCTCACACTTATGGCTTATTCCCAATTTTAGTCATCCGGGAAATTTCCATAAGAATAAACAAACAATGCAGCATTGCTTTCTTTTTTTAAATTTATTATTTACTTATTTCTGAGATTCTATATAATTCGCTTCGCAATTCATTGAAGTTTGCGGATTTCCGAGGGATTTTTTTATTCATCGGTTTCTACTTATTATGAAAACTCGCCTATTGGAGAATGCCCAAAACATCACATGACAAAAAATTTTATTTTTTTCAGTCTCTGTTGTAAAACATTAGAAAGTAGACCGTCTCTCCATATAAGGTCTTGCATCTCTTTGGTAACCCTTATATTTGTTGCGGTCTACAAAATGGATCTATGCAAGTCAAATTGCTTGCCATTAATCTATTATACTAAGCTGGGTAGTATGGACCAATTTTCGTTGTAAAATATTGAAAATTAAATCTTTTTCTGAAAAATCTTTTATGGAGTGGGGTCCAGGAAATAGGCCAATGTCGTTCAAATTTGGACCGCTAAATTTTTATATCAAATTACTGCAATGCACAAATTTTCATCACAAATGATTAACAATTAGACCACGTGGGCATATAAAAATCTACATTTTTTGAGAATGCTTAGACGCGGTGCTGGCATCCAAAAGACAAATTTACATGGTCCAACAGGTTAAAGTAAAGTTTCGAAAAGTGAGCCCATCCCGTCTTAATTTCGCACGGTATGTTTATATGTCAAATTACCATTTAGGAGCCATTTTCTTGTGCTTTGTGCCATGTAAAGATTTGGTTGGATGGATCTGATAAACGCTATTCCGCCGATAAAATTTTTTTGTTCCCGCATAAAGATTGGCTTTGTCTAGAAACGTGCAGTAAGAGGAGACTCCAAAAATAGTTGCATCGCATTCATTGGGCCCCGTAATGTGAAAAGTGGGACAATTTTTTTCACCAAAAGAATTTTTTGCTTCAAATAGAGCGTAATATGAGAAGCATTGGTAAATATATTTCTATTCCAGAAATTTTAGACAGAATTTGTTCTAATATGTCGTTGTAGAAACACATTCTTATCTACAGGTTGAACAAAAAATATATGGATAAACCGATAGATAAGCTAAAATTGATTCAGACAATCATTACGCGTTGATAGGTATAATAAATGATGGCTATAACAGTTTATCGACTTGTTTGTTACACTTACAAATTGTAGTAAATATTCAAAAGACAATGCCAAGGATTCGGGTCACATATGAAATTGTCTATAGCCAAGAAGATAAACAATAAGTTGATGGGGTTTTTTTTTTTTTTTCTTTGCGCTTTTTGTGTACCTTCTAAAGCAATCTTTTCCATTTCTTTGAATTATTATGCAGATTGCCACGTAACATGTTTTACATTAAACACTGTCTAGATGTCTAACTATTTTCTTCTCCTTCTAGATCCACAACAGTTGATTGACTGTTCGTTGTGGGGAAAGTTCAATGGAAACACGAAGTTCGTTGTGTGAACATTTAATTTATTTAATTATTTATATCTTAAATATAAAATGCATATAATTGAACGAGGCAACGTTGTATTTGAGTGTAGTATTCAAACTAAATCCATTATTTTAGGTAACCTTTTTTCTTATATATGTGAGCCATCATTCAAGGGGTTGCCCCCTATACAAGTGAGAGGTCAGGTAGTGTCATAGGTAGAGCGGAATGAAAAGAATGAGTAGTGGAAGGTAGAAATACCAGGCAGAAGGCATAAGCATAGGAATTTGGTGAAAGGTGAGAGCATTTGACAATTGTTGTTTCTTCAAATATTTGTTCACTGGTCGTAAGCTAAAGATTTTTAGGAAAATATTGTAAATTAGTAAAGTCAACCTTTTTTTTTTGTAAATAATCTTTAGGTATCGATTTCCTTAATGAGATTCTATTTAAAATATTTAATCATAATTTTCAATTTTACACTTTGTGATGCAAGTGCAAGCTACTCAAGCAGCCCTCGTAAGCTTTTGTTTTTCTCACTTTGACTGTTTATTGAACTTTTTGAACTTTTCTTTTAGACTTTTTAGTTGCTCGCGCTGTTATTGCGCTTATCGTTATTATTGTTGTTTGTGAAAATTATCGATTCGAAAGTAAAAGAATATATATATATATATATATATATATGCACGTAAAAATAATAATAATAATTATTAACAGCAATTAAAAAGCTTTAAATGTGTATTAAAATAATATTTCCTTATAGCACGTTTGCATGTACGTGTGTGCGAGTGTAAATTACGATTTGCATGTTTATGATATTTCCGTTACACTTTATTCACTCGATTATTGTTTTTTGCCTGCGTTTTTATGATTTTTTAAAATAGATTTCTCAAATCAACTTATCGGTGAGTTGCACGCCAGCTTTATCTTCGATTACTAACAATACGCTAACGTTAATTTAATCACTTATAGAAATTAAATTAAAAGTTAACATATTTTTATTGCTTACTCCACTTAATAATTGCATATTTGTAGTCTTTAAAGAAAACAAAACGTATACATATATATATGCATATTTAAAGGACCCGGCCATTAAATATGCTTTTGCGTTGACAATTTGGTTTTCTTTTCTGCTCATAACCGGAAGGACGAGAGGTACATTCATTTCGTCTAAAACGTTTGCAAACGCCCAAAAGGTAGTTTCAAAGCCATCCAAAGTATAAATATTCTTGAGCAAAATTAAAATTAACTTGTAAATCGCTTTAAGCCTGTCCGTCTGTCCGTCTGTCCGTATTTGTAACCATTTTCGTGGCCGCAAAAAATGGGAGAAACATTGGAAGTTTTTGCAAGCAGATTGATATTGAAAACTGGTCAAATCGCACGAACAGTACGCCTACAGCAGCACGTCCTAAGCTGAGAACACATCTGTGTTTCAAAAGCAATATAAAATTGGTTTTTTGCGAATTACTCGGAACGTACTCCGGCAGACCGACGTACAAGAACTTGAACGTGTATTCTTTGGATGATATACCTGTACAAAAATGGAAAAAAATTGACCACGCCTACACACGCATATAAAGTTGTATGCTTTTATAAGATGCAGAAACAAGCTTCAAAAATTCTCTCTCTTGGCCAGTTTCAAAATTTGGAATGCACCTGAATATGTCCGCCTATTCGTCTGTCCATCTGTTTGCCTGCGCAACTGTGTAGGATATGTGGTAAACAATTTCCCATTAGCGAAAATGAAGATATCCCAGCGATTTAAGCTTTTTCAAGGACACGGCTACAACACTCATCCGCCTAAGCGGCAAAACCTTTTATTTGGAAAATAAATAATATCAGCCTCGCCAAATACATATAGGGTATCGTATACGGTATAGGGTATCATAATTTAATTCTTTTACTCTTTTCTTTTTTTTAAGATAACGGTAATCGGCATAAAAAAATCACTCACGATCGAATTTAATTTTCTCAGTTGTCTTTTAACATCTGCATAACGCGCAGAAGCAAGTTTCGAAAAACTGCATAAAGTTTGTAAATTCTTTTCTAATTTCGCGTTCGGAATGCACGCAAGCATGTTTTCCTGCTAGTCCGTCCATCTGGTCGCCTGCCGACCGCAGGCAAAAATGAATATATCGCTTACAGATTTGCAAGAGAGTTTGAAAATGGTCCAAGCGATTAAAACAACTCGCCTGCGGCGACCGTACGTCAATACAACCAAAACTGGAAAAACCTTTGTTTCCCGTGTCTTCTGCTCGTTGCTCATAAACTGCACGATATAAATTTCCACAAAATTCTTTTATCACAATATCAAAAATCAGCCACTCCCATCCAATATTATAGAGTATGCAAATGTATATTTTTCATTAGATAACGGTGATGGGCATCGAAGATTGAATGGAAGATTATTGAAAGCTCGTCTTTAAAACTTTTCCATCAATGAAAAAAATTAAATAAAAAGATAAAAATCGAACTCTCTTTTTCTAGTATTTCTGAGATCATATTCTCTGCATGCCATATCTAAGTTTTTGTTAAACAATATAGCGCTTGTTCATAGACTTGCTAATATTCACAAATATTTCGAAGTCAGAGGAAATCGTCACATCCTTTTTGCCCTTTTGCGCTTATTTTAAACCTTTTAGGAATCGTCTAGGAGCGAAGAGTTCTCTTTCATAAAGAAGAATAGTCTGCAGAAGTCTTATCTTGTGTTCATCGTCATCATGCCTAGAAAGTCTTCCAAAGAAAATACAACGCTGTGCATAGCTGTCATTACATCATTGCCTATTAACGATATGAAGTACGCTATCAGATTAATATCGTTAACGATAGTAGAAGCAAATAATTCGGCTGAGTAACATGCGTTGAAAGAAAAAGGTTTACCTTTCAATCAATTATGATTTATTGTATCCATTGTGTCTTTTCTAAAATCCGGGAGAACGAAGCAGATTCTCTAAAGAGTAGATTTATATGTAGTCACACTATAATTCTAAAGTAATTTAGCTACTTTGTCGTCTGCGTCTATCAACTGTGTAGATTTCGCAAAGGAAACCAAGTAGAATATTGATGCCTAATATCGATAACACTTGGAACATGACCTTGATTAATTAAATATAGAAAGGAAATTGTCACGCAACTGAATTTGTATTACATGACCGCTCACTCAGGAGATGTCAACCATACATGTAAGAAGATGATGGTGGAATTGAGAAAAGAGAAATAGATAGTGAGTGGTCGCAGCTTGGTGGGCGTATGCCTCTATTTCTATATTTAAGTGATTGACTTTACTGACTAAGCAGTCACTTTTAAGTAAGCCCCAACCCATTGAAACTTGAGCCTGCGAATGCTGACTCTTATCTACTCGAATATTCACACGGATTGAACTAATCCGGCAAGAAAGTCGGTCACTTTAGCGAGCTGTTGTCAGTAACTTACAGCTGATATGGATTAAATTATTGACGTGCCCCCAATTTCAGGGAAGCTAAGAGATTCGACTTCAAAACGAAATCAGCCGTTCTGTTTATAACGATGCGCCGCCATTCTGCATTCTTGCGAACTGCGTAGCTTTTCTTAAAGTACCAATATTTTAAGAATCATGTAGGATGATAGAGTACACGTACAAGAACAGAAAGATCTGCTGCTACTAATAGATTGTAGAATAATCTTTAATATGTAGGAATTAAACTTTATTGCCAATAAGAGCTTCTTCGCAATGGAGTCTAAAGTATTTGCTTCTTCTAGAGAGAATTTTAACGGGTAAATCTTCCCTTTCTAGGAAGAATGCTTTAGAAATTCGCATTTTATTAGGAAATTTTAATGCTCCATCTCGAAGTTGGGCTGCACAGTTTTTTCGCTTGCGGCATTAATAAGTTTACCTTTGGAAACATGCCACACACAGTCATTGGTTCATTTGTGCATTTAAGGTCAAAGAACGAATGGTGGTCAATGTGTGTTCTTGAAGTGAAAGTATCGCGTAACTTTAAACCTCGCTTCAAAGTCATAGACAAAACTAAAACAAACTAAATTTTTTGTTTTTTCTTAATTAAGATTTCTAAAGAGTAACAAAAGCTCTCTTCATATCCATGCTAATGTTGATATTTTCCATTTGCTAAAACCTAATTACTTGTCTTCATTTCTTAGGCATTTTCAAACCTATTGCTCGAAATGTTTAAAATATTTTTAATGAAAATTTTTCTCAAATCATTTGAAATAGTTATAGATATTTTTAATATACCTATTAGAAAAATTTGGGAACAATGGGGAAAGCTTGTAAGCGAGGGTATTCTTCTCATATCCGTTAGCCTGTTTTTAATCGTTTTGTAAGAGTATCATGTATTGCATGTAATTAAATATGAAAAAAATTTAAAAAATTTTTTTACAATAACAGGTTTTCGTTCTTCTTCTTATGACAAATATGTAAATAAATAATTACACTCATCTATACATATATAAATATATATCGTTCATAATTGAAATCATTTCGAAGCTAAGTAGCTCTCTCATCATTGCGCTTGATCCGTTGATCCGTAGTCTCATTTAAATAACAGCTTAAATGTGTCCTCATGAGAAATAAATTTTCTTTTAAATAACGGGATCATCAATGGAATATTTAATGGGAAAATTTCCCGTCTCTTCTTTTCTTTCCATTTTTTCCGAAATATCTATATGTATGTGCTGTGTATTTGTTCTTCTTTTTCTCTTCTCTTCTCTCTCTCTCTCTCTCTCTCTCTCTCTTTCTCTCTCTATAACTCTCTCTTTCTCTCTGTATTTTTCAATGTTCTTCGTTCCTGTTTCCAACTCCTTTGCGGTATTATCTGGGGTGTAATATACAAAAAATATTTTTTTGTCGACGAAATTTCAATTTGTTCGTTGTTTTGCTGTAAATGTGGTCTTAATTCTACTTCTTCTTTCAATATTCTACATATACACGTTGAATATAAATAATAATATGTATGTGTGCCTACAAAACTTACGTATTATGCATTCTTCCAATTTCTATGTGTGTTGTGTGTATGACATTGTAATGAAATATAACTCGTAATCTCGAAAACACAAATTTTTGCTGTTCGTGTGAAATAATAAAAATAACTCTTGCTCTGGTGATAACACTTTCAATCACTGATTGTGTACATGTACGATGCACTACTACTAATGATTAGCGTGGCACAATGCCGTTGTACAATTTGCAGAGCACAACCATGCCTATACTCTCGCTGAACTCGCATAATATACCAACCGGCGCTAGCAGTTATTCAGCACTTGGTTTAAGCGGTACGGCCACTGGTGCAAGTGGTGTACCACCACTGGGCTCTTCGCTCACCCATCCCACCCTAGGCAACGTATTAGACACTGGTACCATGTTGGGCACTACGACTGGTCTGTCCGGTCTGGGGGCCGGCTTGGCAGGTACATCATCTTTGTATGGTTTAGGCGCGGGAGTTGGAGGCATGGGCGGTGGCCTACCAAATGCCTATGGACCACCGCCCACATTTATTGACGTAGGCTCTGCTGCTTCATATCCGTTTACTTCGTCCGCTTTACGCACTGCTAATAAAATGAAAATGTTGGACGAAATAGACATTCCTTTAACGCGCTACGGTAATCGTAGCTCACCTTGCTCACCGATACCTCCCAGCACTTGGGGTCTAGATGAATTCACAGACAGCATCAGTGCCTCTATGCTGCATAATCGTTGCGGTCTGGCTCTAGGTGCTCTCGATCTGGAAAGTAAGTGTCTTATTGAGATAAGCAATTTTAGAATCCATGAACCTAAACCTGTAGCTTAGCGAAGGCTAGAAAATTTCTTTGGCGATTTTAAAAGAGCCCGCTTTTCCTCTTTAGCTCGCAATCATCCTTTAAATGGAGCCAGTGAACCTCAAGTGGATATGCTCGACATACCGGGGAAAGGGCGTTGTTGTGTTTTCATAGCGCGTTTTCCCTATGATCCACCAGAGTAAGATCTTTATTGGTTTTTAGAATCAATATATAGCTTATCTTCCTAACTCTCAGAGACGCTGAGGGCGAACTTTCATTATGTGCAGGCGATTACTTGCTCGTATGGACAAGCGCTGAACCCCAAGGTGGTTATTTAGATGCCGAATTATTAGATGGTAGACGAGGTTTGGTACCTGCTTCATTTGTACAACGTTTGATAGGTAAAGTCTACAGAATTTTCGCGTACTTACAAAGATTCTATTTTATATAAATTTTTTGTACTTCTAGGGGATGATCTTTTGGAATTTCATCAAGCTGTACTTTCTACACTTCGAGATGCGGAAGATGGTTCCATGCAATGTGACTCTACTTCGTTGCCCTCCTTACCGCCACACAATCCTTTGCTCACTCATACTCAAGAAGACTTAGCGCGCCTCAGTGAAACGCATACGGATTTGGAACACGATCAAGATGATATCAGTGATAATGGTGAGAAATATTTTCGATTTATTTATTACCACTAAACTTTGTGTTTTAATCATTTGAACTGTTAAATATTTTTCGGATTATAATTTTGAATATCATGTGAGCAAACGTTTTTTTTGAATTTTTTACCTCACTTCCACCGAATTATAGCTTCGCTTTTTCTCTTGCTAAGCTTGGAGATCCTTTAGAAGACTTTCGCATTTTTCTTCTCGCTTTAATCGTTTCACTGAAATATGATTTTTTTCACTTTTAATGCCACTTTTAGTGCCAGCTCCTAAACACCTAACGTTAGAAAGACAACTTAATAAAAGTGTATTGATTGGTTGGTCCCCACCGGAACCATGCGGTTATAATCTTATCGATAGTTATCATGTATACGTAGATGGTGTACTTAAAGTTACTATTAAAGCCAATGAACGCACACGAGCTCTTATAGAGGGCGTCGATTCCAACAGAGTAAGTAAATTTTTATTATTAACATAATCGGTTTTAATGATTTTTAAATTTTCGCTGCAGCCCCATCGCATTAGTGTACGTAGTATAACCCAGAACCGTCAAACGTCTCGTGATGCTGCCTGCACTATGATTATCGGTCGCGATACCGCTCATTTGGGTCCATCCGCTGTTCGAGCTTCGCACATAACGTGTTCATCGGCTGTCATCTCTTGGCTGCCAGCCAATTCTAATCATCAGCATGTAGTTTGTGTAAATAATGTTGAGGTGCGCACTGTTAAGCCTGGTGTTTATCGGCATACCATTACGGGTTTGGCTCCCAGTACTCAATATCGTGTTACAGTACGAGCTAAGCATTTGCGTGCCGCTGGGGGCCATCATACACCCGGTCGCCCTCAGGAAGAGGCTCCAGGGGCTTATGCAGATTTTCGAACTTTAGCTAAAGGTCTGCCTGATCCTCCACAGGTATGAATTCTTAAGGGTTTACTTTCTTAACGCCTAACTACGACGCCTACAAAGCTCAGCGCAAGTTTTTTGTCTTTCGACATAAGATATTTTAGATAAAAGGAACGAGAAAGAAGTATTTTCCGCTTTGTAACGATAACGGATATATTCGATGGAGTCCCCTAATCCGGAGGTTTTGATTTCTTTCTTTGCTTTTTATAGTCACTTAGATATTCGTTTCGCTTCTTTTAAATTGGCTTTCGTTACTAACGAAAAGCTGGACTTTGATTTGCATTTTATCGTTAATTGGTTCCCTTAACTTTTTTAGGATATCCAACTTGAGGCTGGTCCTCAGGATGGTACAATATTAGTAACGTGGCAACCAGTTAATCGACCTACTTCTTCTGGGCCCGTAACTGGCTACGCTGTATATGCGGATGGGAAAAAAGTCACTGATATTAATTCACCGACGGGTGATCATGCTCTTATCGATATTGGAAAATTGGGCACGTTCAATCCGAGAGCTGTAACTATACGCACCAAATCACGGGATTCCCAATCGGCTGATAGCGCGCCCATATTAATACCAAGTGAGGAAACTGAATTGTTATCAGCGTAATTGAGATAACTCAATACAATTCATTTAATAGATGCTGTACGTAGTGCTGTGGGTAGGAGGGGACCAAATCAGATGGGCATGGGTCAACAAATGCCTCAAGGACCGCACGGTCCCATGGGTATGCCAGGGCAACAGCAACAACCTCATATGATGGGTCAACAAGATCCAAATCAATATGATCCTAATCAAATGCAACAACAACAACAACAACAACAGCCGGGCATGCAACCGCATGGGCAGCAACAACAAACTCATCAAGGACAACAGGTGGGCAGAGAAATAGTTAATGTAAAATAACGAGACGATAAACTCTTCAAAACCATGCCATTAAAACACACATTCACACACAGACACACACACGCACACAGGGCATGCAAACACAGAGGAGAATATACAGAGTCACTTCTACTTAACTTAAACTCTCTCTCAAGTTCCGGCACATTTAACATACACTTTGTACACACTGTCCCTACGCCCTACAGCGGCATGCTGCTACACTCAATGAATATTTTGTCTACACTTTCATAGTACACTATATCTGCGCAACGCCCATTCATTGGGAAATATTCTCCACTATTTTCTTTACAAAATATTTTATTGTACAAAGATTTTTTACTATACTTTGCTTGCACTTTATTACTTTACAAATTCTTTCTGGAGCTCTGTTATTTGACTTTTCAGTTATCAACTGTCTTTCGGCTATACCCATCTTGGGGAAAGCAAACAAACACACATCCTTTTATTATTTCAAACATTTATTTAAGAAACTTTCCCGATTCTGATCAAACGTTTTGCAAACTTATACAATTTTAACTCTACTTGGCATCTTTCGAGTTTCATTTACTTAAGTAAGCCTCCGAAATTCTTATATTATTATTGAAAGTTCCTCATTAATGGGAAACTAAAATTGCATTTCAATACCCATATTCTATTCATCCATTATTGGCCTAAGGATGATGTTTATGATGAAATTTCAAGTCAAAATTTGTTCAATTTACGACTCCCTACTTAGGGAGATTTTCGTTAGTAAAAGTGGCCTTAGACTAATGCAATTTCTTAGAAAATAATTTCTATATCTATAACTTAAAGATCGGTAATAATTTCGATTATTCACTAATTTTATAATTAACAAAATGGATGGATTGATTGGAATGAATGCTTACTTGAATGGTATAGAATCCCGGCGGCTTATTAAACTTTATTGAGTTATCTGAAATGCTCTTCCTTTTTTTCTCGGCCATTTTAACAATCTTCCGTTAGAGGTAAAAATTCGCAAGGTGAACTTAAATAATCTGATACCTAACTGAATATTGTGAAAGCGGTCCTTATTTTATTCTCTTCTATATCTTCTAAAATTATTTACACTGAAAAAATATTTTGCTCTTGAAATTGAAACAAAAAAAAAAAAAAAGAAAAAATAAGTGTTTCTTTAAGCCTTCGCAAGAACAAGCAATCAGCACCGATTATTTACTTTTAATAGTACAAAAAAAAAAAAAAAGGCTCCGATCTTAAATAATATTATTTTTTATACATATGTACATTATTTTTGTTAAAGGTTTTTGTGAGAACGAAGATAAATTTCCCCCTTAATCCTCTTATGTCCTTAACAGTTCTTTGCTTGCGATATTAAATGAAAGAGAAAAGTTTAATTGAAAATTGGAAAAAGCATGACCAAAATGTTTAAAAAAAAAGCTCATAAACTCATATCTTTTAGATAAATTTGATTTAATCTCTAATTCTCGTCTATTTTAGTTTTATGAAAATTATATTTTCAACAACTTTTACATACATTGTCATAAACCTACCTTTTTTTTTTTGTATGCAAAACAAATATTTGTGAATTATAACAAAAAAAAAAAAAAAAAATTAAAAAAAAAAAAATACACCAAAACGTAAATTACCTTAAAAATCATCTGTAAATGCAGGCCGACGGAAGTTCTGGTCTATTAGGAGGCCTTCTCGGCGGCCTCTTCTCGAAACCCTCACAGACTCAAGTGACACAGAGTCAAAATGTCAACGTAAGTTCACCGCTCATACAACCCTAAGCCAAAACTTTCACAATCATTACGTTTTTTTATAGTTCAAAATATTCAAAATAATTCAAAAAAAAAAAAAAAAAAATTATTTAATTTTTTTTTTAGTTTTTTATTTTTAAATAGAAAAATACTTCAGTTTACTGTTAAAAGTTTTTATGCTTGCTAAAAATATAAATATGTATATATATATATATGTATGCATATACGTGTATATATATACACATATATATGCATACCTAGAGAATTAGTTATCCCTCATTAAAAAATTTTAATAAAATATTTTTATAGGTTAGACAGCTTATGAGTAGTATTTGTTTTGTAATTTAGATTTCCTCCTTTACATTACTATACTGAATTTTTTCTTTTATAGAAATTATTATATAATTATTTTCAAAAGTTGATTTTTATGACTTTATCCCATAAAAGAAGAAAAAATTGATTAACTCGTAGTCCATCTTATCAAAAAGGGCTCTAAATCGGTTAAAAATAAAAACAAAAAAAAACAAAAAAATTCGCTACAAAATTCTTTTCCCTGTATTTTACGTATTTAGGTAAATCTTGATCTCAAGAAGAGTTATACATACACTGCAAAGAAAAAAAAAAAAAACAACAAGAATAAATAAATAAATGAAACGAAATAAAATATTCTATATGTAACATAATTTTTAAATTATTTTTATTTTTTATTTCTTTTTTCTTCACTTATTTATTAATACCTAAATACCAATTAACTTTATTCTAATGGATTATTATTATTGTTAAATTCAGCTTTTAACCTCTTAAAATATTTCGTTTATTTGATTTATCTTAATTTTTTTCATATTTTTTTTTATAAATTCTTTAAGAAAACCGCTTCAAAACAAAACAGAACATTTAAAGCTGCTTTTTTCCAACTCATTCTGTTCCTCTCAGTATACATATAATTTCAAAATTCTCTAAATATACTCTATAAATATAACTAAAGTACTACTAAAAAAAAAGAAAAAAAAAAAATTATCAAAATACTTTTCGATATCAATTGCATTATTACAACAAAAATATTAAAAAAGAAAAAAAAAAAAGAACAACCAAAACGAATTCCAAATTGCTTTAACCAAAATTTTTAAAATTAATTCGGGTTTTTAAATCAACCAAAACAAAGGGTTACCCACCGGGCCAACAACAGCGTGGTATGATGCAAGGCGGCCGTTTGCCTGGGCCGCAGGGCATGCAACAGCAACAGCCGCCCCAGCAACAGCAGCAGCAACCGTATGGACCACAGGGTCCCATGGGTCCCCAGCAACGTTTCCCTGGTCAAAGAGGTCCAGTACCGCCAGGTCAAATGCAACCCGGTGCTTCCATGCAGCAGGGTCTAATGCAAACTGGTGCCATGGGGCCACGTGGTCCACTTGGTCAGCAACAGCAACAGCAGCAGCAACAACAACAGCAACAGCAAATGCAACAGCATATGCAACCGGGTCAAATGATGACGCCACAGCAGCAACATCAGCAACAGCAACACCTACAACAGCAACAAATGGCGGCGGCCGCTCAAAAGAAGCCACGCTACTTTGTTGCCATGTTCGATTACGATCCAAGCACAATGAGTCCTAATCCCGATGGATGTGACGAAGAACTGCCATTTCAAGAGGGCGATACCATTAAGGTAAGTTCACAACAGGCGTTACTTGCTTTGCTGCAATCTGTGTCTCGAAATTAACAAAATGAAAAAGAAAAAAAAAAAACAGATATAATAAAAAAAGAAAAAACAAAAGAAACAATTGGCTGCTAATCTAAATTTGTAGTATCACCTTTCTTTTAGGATTGATTGATTGATTGATTGATTAATTGATATAAGCTTGTTTGAATTCATAAAATGCTTTCATAAATAACCTACACTCCAATTACAAAAGAATACCGAACCATTTTCTGACATCAAGTTTAAGAATCTTCTACGGGACTTTTAAGGACTTTTTATGACAGTCAATTTCCGTAGTTGCATAAATTTCAATAAGGCATAGTGAATAGATTTATATTTCAATCTTCAAGAACTTGATAAATTAATTATACACGTAACACCTCAGTCATTAATTTGAAATCTATCCAAGTTAATGCTGATTTCTTAATCTTAATCGAATCTTAATAGCACCGAGGGAGCACATTTGGGATCATTTTACAAAATTCTTGAATATTTTTTACATCCAAAATTGTAGGGACCTTTCCTCCTTTTATATTTAGTCTATCGTCAGAACATGGTGCATCCAATAAGTTTGCTTAATTTATCGAAAGAACCACATACCTGAGAACCTAAGGTCTACCGATTCTTGTTAGTAGCGTCCCCCAATAGTAGTTTGATTTAGTGAAAGCGATTTGTAATAAATTGTGCTTGAATATTCGGGTTTACAATCAACGCTAAGTATTTTCAGGGACCTGTACAATCGTTTTTTGCGCCTTCGAGATCACATTGCGTCTGCTTTGAATCATCGGTCCCTACTCAGAAGCGCTACGTTTCGAATTTAGCGCCTTCTCCTGTTTGACAGACTTTTCGCATACAGATCGACTTGCTTAAAGTTCTTAAAAACTTCATTAGTGTAACCTATACTATCGCGAAATGCCTAGCAACAGTATTTTCAACTGGAGAAGTCACAGCATTGTCCAACATGTGAGATCCAACGGAAGCGACAAACAGACTAATTAATGCAATGTGCTCGAAGTGTGTGCTGCTTAACATAAAATGGACATAAGTTGCGGATTAAATTAGGAAAAATGTATTTTGCCGCATTCTTTTAAGAGGTACATATCTAATACTTGGATTTTTACAAAGTTGTCCCGAGATTTAGTTCATTTCAGTTCGAAATTACCAATGCCCATATAGAAGACATCGAAAGTATCGTAAAACGTCTGCCTGGGAAACTGCACTAAGCCGTCAGCTACTATGAAAGTCTCGTATGGGACGTGCTCATAGAAGCCATAATTCCCCCAAAATCGCGGAGAGTTTAGATAGAGCGGAGAGTTTGGCGTATACGAGGCACTAAGTGTTGTAAAACTTGCCCTACTCAAAGAAGGCCTTCGCTTTTCGACTGCCCTAAGGGTCCCATCTAATTAAATCATACAGAAAAAGGTGTAGACGTTAAATAATAGAGACGGCGAGACTATGATTAAAGTTATTTACTTTGAGTTGTCAATTCTCTATGCCTGTAGGCAGTTTTATCAAAAAAAAAGATGTAAAACCAAAATGATTGGAGACATATGCCTGATTACATTCGATGTTATTGATGGCTGAACAATAATCTTCGCCAACTTCCGAGGGACTCTTTTGGATTTTTTTTTCCAATTTTCAGGAGTCTATAAGCCTTCAACAAAGTTGAGCTTCGGTATGGCGGGTCTGATTGATACTGAGTTGTAGGTCAGAACCGCTGAAGCTAGATAATTCCATTGTTGAGCATTCTTAGTTTACATCATCAGTCTTAGAGTTCAAAAGTTAGGCGTGCCAACTTTAACTAATCGATGTTTTCATAAATGTGGATAAAGGGGGTGTAGGTTGTTTTTGTTATATACACATTTACTATTTATTATTTTTAATTTGAATAGAGCTAACTACACACAATATATGGAATGATTGTGTAAACTATAATTATTTAAAAAGTTTCTATGTAGTTGTTCAGCTAAATGACAAAAAACAAAAAAAAGAAACTAAATGAAAGAAATATGTAAACATACACAATACGTATTTACGTATCTAGAATGCTGTAACTAACTAATGTACAAGGTAAGCTTAGAATCTCTTCTATAACATCAAACGACTTTATATATTTAGGAGAAGTAGCAACCAACTATTACTGCTACTACTAATACTACTACTACAACTACTACTACTACTACTACAACTACTACTACTACTACTGCTACTGCTACAATTACTAAAACAATAATAATAACGACTGCTACTACTGCAACTTCTACTACTGCTACTACTGCAACTTCTACTACTGCTACTGCTACTGCTACTACTACTACTACTACTGCTACTATTGCTACACCTACCAACCTATTGGATGCTACGCATTTGGAAAGTATCACTTCTGGCTTAAATGTGAAAGACATGTAATGAATGAAATTTGTCACTTTTACATGTATTCGAAGCAAGTACGAATTGGCCTACACATTAATCGGTTGAGAGCTTTAATCGTTTTATTAACTTAATTTGGAAACCCATTAAAGGATTTTGCATTGTAATCCCATTGATACATTCATTCATTTAATTTTTTTTTTTTGTTTTTTTTTTTGTTTGTTTTTGGTTTTGTTTTTCTTCTTCTTTTCCTTTTTTTCTTTTTTTTGTTCATCAGTAACTTATAGTGTATGTGTAATAATTTTAAATATATTCTTTTTGTTTACATATATTTATATGTATTTATATACATAGTGATCAATGAAATATACGTACATATATATACTATACTATAAATATATATGTATAAATATTTAGATATAGTAAGCGTTATAGTTATAGCGTTTCTCCTATTTCCACCTCTCTGAGTTAACCATATAGTTTAGTGATGTGTAAATGTGTTAAAAGTTATATAATTATCATTTATGATTACAATATATATATATAATCAATTGTTTGCATATATATATATATTTACAAATATATATATATATATATCTCAATATATTTTACTTATTTGACTTTGTAGAATAAATTTCATTAATTCCGTTTAAATTTTATTTTTTTGTAATTTTTTCATTTCCTTTGTTTTGTTTTTTTTTTTTCTTTCTTGCCTACTTATGTTAAGGTTTACGGTGATAAAGATGCTGACGGGTTTTATTGGGGGGAACTGCGGGGTCGTCGTGGTTATGTGCCCCATAATATGGTGACCGAAGTTGACGATGGCACAGGTCAAATGGGCCAGCTGCCGCCTCAACCAGGCGGAACGGGTCAAGTTATGCCCGGTCAGGTAGGCACTCAACAGAGTATGCGTAATGTCAGTCGTGATCGTTGGGGTGATATATACGCCAATATGCCTGTTAAACGCATGATAGCTTTATATGATTATGATCCTCAAGAATTGAGTCCAAATGTTGATGCCGAGGTAAATATTGCAATTATTATTGTTTTTTTTTTTTATTATTTTCTTATCGGAAAGTTGTTATCATCGGCTTTGCTTTGCTTTGCTTTGTACTTTAGCAAGTTGAATTAAGTTTTAAAACTGGTGAAGTAATACTAGTTTACGGTGAAATGGACGAAGATGGTTTCTATATGGGCGAATTGGACGGTGTGCGCGGTTTAGTGCCATCGAATTTCTTGGCTGATGCCCCCGATCAGTATGGCAATCAAATGATTCCGGGTGGTGGCCCTGCAGGACGCGGTGGCTTGGCCGGTCAGAGGGGTAGAGGTCAAGGGCCGGGTGCTAGAGGACCTCCACCACCGCCACGTGACAATATGATGCCTGGCATGGTTGGGCCTCGTGGTCCCCAAGGAAAAAGTAAGTACAAGTTTTTAAAAGTCGCTTCAAAGAAATTGTTTTTTTTTTTTGTTGTTATTTATAAAAAAAAAAAAACCAAAAATTTCCAAAATTCAGAATTAAAATTAAAAAAAGAAATAAAATAAAAAAAAAATACAAAAATATATTAGGTTTCTGAAAATTCAAATTGGGTTATATTCCATTTCGGAAAAATTGAAGACAAATTCAGGAGATTAAAAATTAGGTATTTTAAATGCAAATTTTGTTTTTTTTTTTTTTAACAAACACTGCCAAACTTGAAGAAGAAGAGAAAACATATAATACAGAAAAAGATTTTTACAAAACTTTTTTCAGCAAATTTTTCTTTTTTTTTTTTAATAAAATTTTATTTCAAATCGTATATATTTTTTTACTAAATTTTCTTTTATTTGATTTCAATATTTAATATAAATAAATTTTTTATATATATATATATATAAATATATTTATTTACTTGTTTTTTTTTTTTTATTTATTATCTGAATATAGTTGTTGTTCTTGTTGTTGTGTAATTGTTTTCGTTTTTTTTTTTCTTTTTTTTCATTTTTGTTTTTCTTCAGTAGCAGCAAAGATCTTTTTATTTATTATTTGGTCTCAATTTCAATTTTCACACCAAATTTTTGTTGGCTTTACCTTAATAATAATATGCTTTAACTTTTAATTTTTATTTTACACTTCTTCATCAAAATCTAAATGTTGGTATGATGTACATGTGTGTTTTTTCATTTCTCTAAAGTGATTCTAAGAAATTGAAATTTCCATGTCCTGTCTCATATATTAAGCTAAAAAAAAAAAAAAATGTTATCATAATTTTTTTTTTTGATTTTTGTTTTAACATTATAAAGCATGACCTTTTTTTTGTTATTGATAAAAAAAAAAAAACAAATTAAAGTATGAAAGAATAGTCTTACCATCAATAAACTCATTTGCTTCAATAACTTCTTCTTCTTAACTCCTTACAAATCGCGATTCATTACGCTCACAAAGCAGCAGTAGACAAGAAGGGCAGAGTGTGCAAGTTCCTTTTCTACATGCCAAAAGTTTATAAATGTAGGCAACTTAGCTTAAAGAATTCATAGAGTTGCGAATTATGTAAAATTATAATTAAGAATTTTCCCCAAACACACTATAGTCGGCCATGTTCCATCATTAAGTCTCCTGCACTACTTCGCTAAAGACAATTATTCACATAAAGGTTTCTCAACGTAATGCCTTATGTGGGAACTGGCCATAGAAGTCGTCCAAATCGAACTATTTTCTATACAATATGTCCTTGCGACCTTTACGTTGAGCACAAAAATCCATAGACAAACGGGAGGGACAAACTTAGATTGCTTTCAGTTCGCTTCGAAAATACTTTCCGTTTTTCTCTGTAAATTGCTTTGCTTCCCTCGTCACAATTTTGGAGATTTATAAAATTTTTATAAAGCTCTCTGAAAAAGTTCTTCCAACAGGCCGCTTACGCTGTGGACAGTGCAAATTTTTGAGAAAAGTTCTTCCAAAAGAGTTCAGTAAGGCCAGATTTCAATGACAATCAATCTTAATTAATTAAATAATAAAGTGTTTTGCAATTTTTTACGCCTAACAAAGAAGGATGCAACGGTAACTATTCATTCGCCCAGTGAGCAATGCGAATCGTTGATGACTCAAAGTGCACGAAACCAGAGCAAATATTAACTCAGAAATGTTCAGATTGAGCGGATATGTCCCTAAATCAATTTCTCGGATCAAGTTTGAAAATGGAAAGAATTTAATGTCACCTTAGCGCTAGAACTACCGACGTTTTGTATATGCCTGCTGCTGCTATAAGGGTTCATTTTGATTCTCTTTTTCCCTTTGCTGTCACAATCGTAAACAAGAACGATCGGATATTGAAATTTGACACAAGTACTTTTTGATCGATTATCTATCTCAAAAATTTTACACTCTTTCTAAACGGTTATTCTAAAAACGACTGAAGAAAACGAAAGAAAGAACTCAATCCTCGTACTCTATAATGCTAGATGAACCCAGTTGTTTTTCCTTTATTTTCAAATTTACCTGATGTATGTATAGTGCTTTGCGAGTATTAAGTAAAAAACACCGAAAGTTTTCTTTTTATTGCATGGATGTGGGGGCATTGAGAGCGTATCTTTCGACCGGTTTATTCCATTTCCACATTCTTTTGCAAATTTGATGTCGATAGCTTCATTCTTGGTGGTTGGGTGTTGACCATGGATACTATGTAAATGGACGTACATGTTTAAGTGCATCCTAAATTTAAAGCTGGCCAAGAATTTAGACGGACATACGGACCGGACTTACTTAAAGCGGTTCAGAATTCCATGTTGTTCAAGAATATATATACTTTGTGGGTTCCCTGACGCTTTTTTCTCATTATTGCAAACATTTTGATCATTTGTCGGTAATGGGTACCAAAAGGAAAGTTAGCTTTAGTGTTAAAGACTTAAAAGACTTAGTTCATTCATTCCATGATCGTCCATTGCGTGTATGAAACAAATTACAGATATGCTGTTGGCGTTTCTTTTTTTTTTTTTTGTTGATTCAATTCCTCTCTCCACTATGATGGTAGTTAAAAATGCAACAAACATTTGCTGACACTCGTTTTTTTTTTAAATTTTTTGCTCAGACAGCACAATGTTTGACCTTTCCTTTTGTGTAAAAGAAAATATTGAATAAGATATTGATGTAAAAGTTCGTTAAAACCCTTAAAATCCTCCCAAGTTGTCTATGTTTTTACAATTTTCATCTAGAAACAACAATAACAACAACAAATTCAAGAAATCGTTAAGCTTGAAACGCAAAATTTAAAATAAATTATAAAATGTATAGAGATAAAAAAAAAAAAAAAAATAAATAAATAAATCATAAGCCTGTGTAATGGTTTCTTCTTGTAAAATATTAAATGTCAAGAAAAAAACAAAAAAAAAAAAAAAGAAAAGAATCGAAACAAAAACAAAAGGTAATCATTTAATATATATTTATTTTTTAATTTACAAATTTAAACGATGAACGACGATTTTCGGAGGAGAAAATTTTTTCGATTTAATTCTTTATTTTGGCTTTAATTTTGTTTTTTTTTTTTTTCATTATGATTGATTATCTTCGCAATATTTTTTTCATTTATTTAACTTAATCTCTCTGTATATTATATTTAATGTATTATATAATGTTATGTGAGAAAATATGAAAAAAAATAAAAATACAAATAAAAAAAAAAATGCAATACTTGCGGTGAATTATATAGAAAATCAAGCCGAGTTTTTAATGTGTTTATATAACCTTTTTAAGTGATATGTATATTTTATGCAATATTATTAAATTAAAAAAAAAAAAAAAAAACAAAAGAAAGAAAGAAAACTACATCAAGTATGCTGCACAAGCCTTTTACTGCTGGTGTGTGTTTTGTGTCTGTTAGTTAAATTTTGTTTTTCATTTTAACTCAAACAAAAGGCAAAAAAAAAAAAAAAATTTTAATTTAAAAAAAAGAAACAAAAAAACCTAGTAATGGCCATAATCAGAATTTTCAAATCGGTATTCAAACGAGTTAACTGACATTTAATGTTATATTTTGAAACGATCAAATTTTATTTAACACAAGAATACAAAACAAAAATTTCATTTGTAATGGTCTGCTGTGGTAAATGTGAAGTCTTTATGTTATATTTGTTGCTATAGATGCTCGCCCTGCTTCCCCTACACTGTTAGACACGACGGGCCATCCTGCCCCCGATCACCAAACGCAGGTAAATACTCTTTCTTCTTTATGTTTTCATTATGTTACGTTTTTTCGTTTTACTTTATATTTAAAAGCAAGAAAAAAAAATTATATATACTACTACTACTACTACTACTACTACTAATACTACTACTACTACTACTATTACTTGCATTCTATACTCACTCTACTTTTCTCTTTACCTTCAATGAATTTCTGTAAAATAAAAAAAAAAAAATTAGTTAACCAGAAAACTATAACTTGAACTCCACCTATTTGAACTTAGAAAAGAAAAAAAAAAAAACACAAGCTTTTTCTTGTACTATTTTACACTCTTACTTAATCATTAATATCTTTGTTTGAATTTATTTTCCTGTTAAGACACCGTTTTCTATTACACTATTTACATACACGTTTTGCGTCGTTTTCCATTTCTTGCCAATCTCCTTATTATCTCACTCTTCTCACTCATGCTTCTCTTTTACCTTTTAATCATACATTTCATCTCATGTGTTGTCTCGATTAAATTGTTCGTATGGTTACAATAATGAAAATTTTAATTTTTATTAATAATTTGTTTTTAACTTTTATTGCGTTCTTTGCTTTTGGGTTAAAACTTTTTCAAATTAAAAAAAAATAATTAATATATTTATATATATCGAAAAAAAAAAAAAAAAAAATTAACCTGAAAAAAAAATTTTTCCACATTTTTTATTTTTTTTTTAAAAAATTAAAAAAAAAAAACAAAAACACTGCAAACGATTGCATTTACTTTCCAACACTTGTAATCGCTAACTCGTCGTACTCGTCTTTTTTTCTCAAAAATTATTACGAAACAATAAAACATTTTTCTAAAACATACGAATTATGCGCTATGTATAGCTAGCAACATATTTAGTGTAAAGCCTCTTCAAAACTATTTGAAAAAGAAAGCTATTCAATAAACTTCTATGATTATTTTTAACAAACTAATCAATTAATCAAGTAAGAAAAACAAATTCATTTCTCCAATAATAACTTGATAACCCTAATTATTACATAAAACAATTTAATATAACATATAATATATTCATGTTTGTCTTCTTTTCCAAACAAGTTATCATGCTTTCGTAGACAACAGTAATTCTTACCGAAGCGTAATTGCTAAAGAGCGTTAACATGAAAGCGATCCAATTGGTATAAAAGCCGTACTCCGATGCCGTTCTCTGTCATATGTACCGTTTATAGTACACGCTAAAATGCATTTTTCCATGTCAAGTTGAATTTTTTAATTTAAAATATTCGAGTCTAAAAATTAATTATTGTTACCTCTATTTTATGTCACTTTTGGGTCGTGTACCGATAACGGTACACACAGCGGCGAAACAAGCGCACAAACAAAAAGTATCAATAAATTTGTTGTCGTGTACCGAAAACGGTACACGATGATCTGTAAGTGCCACGTATTCCAGGGAATGTGTTAAAGAAAAAATTATTCTTAACGCTATAGTAAGAAATGTATATTGTCAGTATACTATAAATCACTGCTCGTTACTACCAACCCGTACTACGTACGGAAAGGAATTACTCATAAAGTTATCGTTTAGGCTAAGAATAAAAAAATACACTTTTTATGTAGTTGTTTTACTCCGACGAAATTATAGAAACAAAGAAAACTTTCAAGGTCGCTTCTAACTCCCATTTTAAAGCACTTGAAGGTGTAGAAAGTCTTACAAAAATATTCACATTGTCCGACGATTTTTTCTTAAAAAGTTTTCGGTATATTATTAAGACAAATTTACTTCCTAGGGTCTGTAATAAACAGATTGGATGAAATGTGCAAGTGCCGGGCTCAAAAGATAGAGTTTTCTCAAATTTTTTTCTTTGTCTAAGATTGCATTGATCAATTGCAATTTCAAGGTAACAAAGTTTTTAAAAAGTTGACTGAATTTTTTTTAGAAAAGTGAAAAAATTTCGCGCTAACTATGCTGTATAGGGAATTATCTTTGAATTCACCGTTTCGATGTCCATTAACTCTAACAATACTTAAGAAAACTTTAGCTTCCATAAACAGTTCTAAGCACAAAGAGATATACGGAGAAAAGTTAATTGAAAAGATTAGTCATTAATCGCTTAAGATTCATCATTTTATTAAAATCCAAAATAAGCGATATTATGACCAAGTGATATAGGATCAGGGTAACATCTGAATCCCTTCAGCAGGTACTAAAGGAATGTAGAAAAATGCAAGCAATGATTGTTACTGATTACTCTATGAGACATTCCCTGATGATGTACTTTGTTGCGTGGCGTACGTGCATGCAAAACCCTCCAGGCCGATGTGCTATTCCACACATAATTCTATCCTATTTACATTATGATTCAATAAAAAAATTGCAGTCAAAAAAACATTGCGTAAATTTTGACACATCCTATATATGTTTAGGATTCTATAAAAAAAAAAAAATGATCCGATCGATTGAAATCTACTGCCACGCGGTGAAGAAATTGATATTACAATCGATGGCGGATAGTCATTTAGAATGTCGATGCGACACATTGAAACAATACAAGAAGCAGAGAATATCTATAGGTAATACCTATCTATATACGAATATGATCGAAAGTAAAGACCAATTTAATTGTATCTTTTTTAAATCTGTTTGTCATTCCAAATCTATTTCGCTGTTTTCGAAGGAATCCCCTTCAGATACAATACGCTTATGCCAAGGTTTTTTGCAATCGTCGAAACCGTTGTTATAGTCGATTTCCGGAATGGCCTTCAAAGCTTTCTGCGATTTAGCTTATATCTCTTTAATCGACCCCCGGAGTGGTCGTTTGAGCTTAGAAAATATCCAGAAGTCATATGGGGGTCATGTGAATACAACGGTTGTGGAATAATATGGGTTGAACCTTTAACGAAAAGGCCTCGAAGAACCAATGCATATATTGAATGGTTTTTGGTATCAAGCTAGATTTGGGGCGTTTTAGGCCCAAAAAATATATTTCAAAATGTGATTGAATGATTCGTTTGGAATGTCAACAGATTTTGCTTAATTTGATTCGACATTTATCATTAAAGGCTATTGGTCGTCCGGAACGGTTTTCGTCTCCAACCCATTCTCGGAATCCGTCCTTTGAACATTTGCATCAATTGTATGCATTTCCCAGCAAGCCTGTTGGTCGTCCGCGACGCTCTTTGTCTTCAACCCATTCTCAAGACCCGTCCTTTGAGCTATTTACAATAATTGTGAACGATTTTTTCCCGCAAAGTCAAAGACCCTTCGCAACATCCTAGACATCCTTTGCATAAGGAATTTAATTTCGTGGACAAAATTTTATGCAACTTCTTTGCTCAGCAAAACCGCTTATTGTGAAAATCACGAAAAAAATTTTTATGTTGTAAAGAAACCAAAGGCATGATGTGATATTTGACGCAGATGTCCTTCACAGTACTATCACTTTAGAAAGAAAAAAAACTTCTGCCATTCGATATGCTTCTGGAATTTAACTTGAATTTTCGTCGCAGCTTTTGATCAAAATCGGTTGAAAATATCGAGCGGAAAACATCTTCGTGGTCTTCTCCTCCTTCCGTATCTTAAGCTTCTCATTCTAACTCAGCGCAGACATGCTAAAATGTATTCGTTATTTCTCATCTGATACTATCATTACACTGGATTTTTTTTTGGTTTTCTAAAGAAAGTATGATAACAAGATACGATAAAGAATTTCATCTATAGATTTTCCCTTTCCTTTTAAACTTTGCTCACTTCTATAATTGTTATTATTTCTTGTTTTTGTTTCTTTCCTTTTCTTGTATATATATAATTTGCTTTTTATACTTTAAGTTCAACTTTCGAAGGAATTTCCTTTCGAGAAAAAGGAATTAAAAAAAAAATTCCACAAATTCATTTCTTAAATATAAAACAATGAAACTAAATACCAAAATTCCAAAAATATAGCAAACTTTTCTACAGTAACATGCCACACAAAGCAGAGCGAAAAGTTATTGTTATTCCGTTCTATTCCCATCACTCTCTCATTCTCTCATTAGTTATAAAAATATTAAAAAAAGAAAAAAAACATAAACAAACAGGAAAAGTGTCTCAGCCTAAAACTTTGTAAATAAATAAATAAATAAATAAATGATATGTGTCTTAATGTAGTAGTGAAAGCAAATCCGTAAATAGAAGCATTTTGTTTTAGTATAAATGCTTACGTATGCCATGTCTACTTATTTTCGTATTATACTTATTTTAAATGTACATACAATAGACGAAAAGCAAAAAAACAAAAAAAAAAAAACCGTATAAATATTTGAAAATCTTTTTGATGTCATTAAATGGTGTACCAATAAAAAAAAAAAAAAAAAACAAAAGAAAAAAATGTAAAGAATACAAAATTTCTATGTGATTCACTGTATGTGTAAAAATATTATAATTTTTTTTTTTTTTGTTTTTTTTTTAGGTACCTTATGTAAATAATTTTTTGTTTATTTTTTTTTTTTTATAATTTACCAAGAAATTTTTATATATACATACATATATATATGTACTTTTGTTTTTTTTTTTTTTAATTTTGAGCTTTTTTGAAATTTTAATTTATTTCAATTCGGCTTTTAAGCTGTTATTGTTTGGTTATTTATTTTGTTTCTTATTTATTTTTAATTTAAATTATTAT